TTATGATCATCATTGGTATCTACTTTGAAGACATCTTGAGTAAAATTGCTTCATATTTAACGAAGCATAGGCAAAACGCTTGAACCGGAAGCGACGAGACCCGGTTAACAGAATACGGGAGTCTGTTGCGCATAAACCCTATTCACCTTATCCCACCATTCATACTCACTATCACCTCTAATTCTTTTTCTCATATAAAGGCTGAAGCTTCATCCCTTGCTGCGTGTTCAGCTCCTCCGTTTCCACATTCAGTCCACATGGAGAGAAAAACAACAACAACTCATACGTTAATACAGACTGTACCTCACAAAAACGGTAACATTATAATTCTGTTACTTCTGAACTTAAAACATTCTTCTTCGCGACTTCCTTCTGTGCGTTTGAAGGACCTTTGTGCACTCCATTCACTGCCTGATTAGAAAACATAGTATATGTAAGTAAATATTACAATTATTGATTTTAAATTATGCATATAATGGTAAATAAATGAAGCTAGAGCTTGAGAATATCTTCACTGAACCACATTGATATCTTAGCACGTTCCTCTCTGAAAACAATGTGAACAAAGAAAAGTTGAACTATTTAAGCGTGTAAATCCACTAATATAGGCTATATAAAATAAGTCAATACGATCTCTTAACCAACATTCACAATGTGCTAAAGCAGTGAGGTCCTTACAATCTTCTACTGAAAGAATAAAATATTCCCAAATTAATCAATGTAATGGATATTGATATGGTTAGTAAATAATGAGATTAGCCGTTATTGAACCTGAATGAGCAGCTAGGTATTTCTGTTTGAGTGCATTAAAACATAACATTCAAAACAATATTTAGTTGTTCATATAAAGCTTGTTCTCCATCGTTGCATACTCATTGATGAGACATGCAGATAGTGATAAGAATGTGAAAAAGGCCGGAAGTCAACAGCACATGAATGCCAGAATGTAAAATTAGCTATTTTATGCATTTAAATGGTTTCATTTTCGTTTCTACTTTACAAATTAACGAGAAAAAATAGCGGATATTTTCTAGTATAAGTGCACTGTGCTCACATTTACTTGTGCATTAAATTACAAATAATAATAAAAAAATCCATAGCCTATCAGCTTGCGCCTTATATTGTGATCTCGAAATGCAGAATATAATTTAGTATGCATTTGAGAGACGTTCTTTAATGTGATGCATATATACATGCATGCACAGTTTGCAACTTTATTCGTCTTTTTGGTAATTTCATGACTTAACTGACGATATAACTAGCTTGTATGCTCATAATTTTTTGTGTGCTTTATACTAACTAGATGAGGCCTTTTGGGTCTCAAACGAGTCTCAAGCAGTCACGTGATTGTGTGCGGAAAGATTCAAGATTCGGACGTCACAGATCACGTGGTTACGACCAAACGACACAAACTCGGGTACAGCGCTTCACTGTGAGATGTTGCGTTTTTATTCATCGGTGCAGAACGTCTAATATTTATGTGAAAGGTATGTGTATACAGTACGTTTATGTTTTTTTCTGTGTAGCCTAATCGTTCTTTCTAAGCGCCTCAAAGGTGTAGTAAACAATCTGGAAGAAAGATGTACAAGTAAAACCGAAAGTAAAAACACCCGACAGCAGTTTCATTGGTAATAGGCTGAAATCGAGATTAGCAAACGAGATTTTTCCCTCGGTAAATTCTATACGTGCCAACATATCGTACTTGCTTTGTTAAAGGTGTTTTGGAGAATTTCCTTTTGACAGTTAGAATGATAAAGAACGGCGACTTCGTCTAACAAATGCGTTATTATGCTTACCTGGGCCGTTTCTAGCCATTTTTACGCCCTTAGCGAAACCCCTCCCAATCCCACCCATCCCACTTCCAAACTTTATTCTTTTAGATTGTATACAAATAACATAAAACTGATTATGTAAACACTCAAATCTTAAATATCAACATTGATACATTTTCTAATTAGTTTGTTTTGCGATTCGGCCCGAATCAGTTTTCTAAAGCGTTTTTGAAAAATCACACACCCTGCCTTTAAACTACTTCAGTCTGTGTGCATTGAATTTATTTAATACACGAGTTTCACAATTTGAGTTGAATTACTGAAATAAATTAACTTTTCCACGACATTCTAATTTATTGAGATGCACCTGTATATATATATATATATTAGAATTGGGGTACTCGGACTCGAGTCCGGTCTCGGGTACAGTTTTTTAAAGGACTCGGACTTGTCACGGACTCGGATGCATTTTTACTCGGACTTGACTCAGACTCGAGCCTTTCGGACTCGGAAAATATGTCAGAGTCCAGGGACAGTTGACGGAAATGTCACTGACTCAATGCATTATCAACAACTGACTTCCAGCTTCAGATTTAAGACCCTTTCACACTGTGTGAAACCAGTTTAGATTTATTGAAAATTACAACAGATTTATTGAAAATAATAAAGTTTGTAGTTACCGTTACAGAGGTCAGTGTTTGCTTTAGTTGTGCCCTTGAACCTTTTCTGTCTGCTGTAACTGTGTGTTCAAAAAGCACATTTCTTATGGCAAGACAAAATGGGTCAGATGATATTGGTTGTATTATGATGATGCCAGAGTTGCCAGCCACTGATCTCGTTTAATTTAGTTACATGGGTGTTTTATCTGTTTTTATATCTATTGATTGCAGAAGCTCTGTTATTTTGTTGTATGAGATTGAATAATGTTTCACTAATCATTAATTTACAAGAAGTTTTTAACTCCAGCATCACTTAGATACTCACAGACATCAACAATCAGCACAGGAATCTCAACAATGGTTACAGAAGTTTCATGCCGCAATGCATGCTGGCTTCCAGCATAAAATGAAACTCCCAGCATGCACAGCAGCATGAATAAATTACGCAGCTGAATGGTCTTACTGTTTTCTTTATTTGAATGTATTGTTATGCTGGTATTTTTGAATGTGAAAAAAACGTGAAAAAAATTGAAGGGGTATGAATACCCCTTAACTTTAGCTATAACTTCAAAAAACGACTTGCCCTAATAAATCTAAAACACTAGTACCGAAAAAGGGCAAGCTGATAATGTTTCACAACATTATTTTCGCTTGATTTAATAGGCACTGCCCGCAAAAGTTGTCGAAATATTGCATTAAGATCGCTCTTGGCGAGCCGTAAGTAAGGGACCGTGGGGAAAGTGCAAGTTTTCGCCGCATTGATCATAAGTGCCTGATTCGGGAGTTAGCATTGCTTCACACATTGCTATATTATTGATATGGACTCCATGATTTATATGACTGACTCAAAAACAAGTTCAGATGGGTTCTTCACTCCCCACATGAATCAAGCAGATCAAGCATCCACTTCCCAGCTGGCTATGTTTCGCTCTCCGTTCATCTTTGAATGTCTTCAGGAAGCTAAGCTAAGTTCCTTTTTAATGCTCTCAGATTATTGGCAACATGCTTGCTAAGGCTATTCATGTTGCTTAGGCTTATTTAGTCATTTTCAGTGAAATGCTCGTGCTAAGATATGCGATCATACTGACAATGTACCTTACTTATCTGTGTCATTGGCAACATTCTGTTGCTGCAATATGCTGTGCTTTAACCTATCAAGTCAAGTCACCTTTATTCAAGCGGCTTGAGGTGATAGATGGAAATAACGATCATGGCGCAAACGGAATCATTTCTGCTGTGGCGCAGCTCAAAAGAGAAAATGGTAAACGGTTGTTGTTCAGTGAAGTCAGTTCAGTGTTGATCCTGTTCGGAAATCGGACACACTTGTTCTATCTAGTCGTATTTGAAACATGCTTGTTCTTAAACCTGGTTGTTTTTGGGATCATGCTTGTTTTTAAAGTTATAGTTGTATCGGGAATATGCTTGTTCTTAAAACTATGGTTGTCATTGGGAGCACGCTTGCTCTTAAAGCTGTAGTTGTATTGGGAACGTGTTTGTTCTTAAGGCTATCTGGTTGTTGGTTGTTGTTGCTTAAGCTTTTCAGGTATTGACAACATACTCGTTAGGTCATCTGGTTAAGGGCAACATGCTTGTGGCTATGGCTTATGCGGGATTTTGGCAACATACTTGTTTGATTCATTGGGTAAGGGCAACATGCTTGTTGCTTAAGGCTTGAAATTTTCGCTGTCATTTTATGTTGGGGGATATGGCATATGGTTTTGTTTTGGGGGGTTATCGCTGCTCTCCCTGCTCTCATCCATGCTAAGCTGCATGGATGCGCAGGGAGTTCTTGCCCAGAACAGAACCATACCGCCAATCCAAACTGTATGCTAATTGTCAATGATCTTTGACGATAGTGGTCCAGACAGAAGTACTTGGTGTTATTGAGAACATGTTGCTTAAGCTTTTAAGGTATTGACAACATACTCATTAGGTCATCCGTTAAAGGCAACATGATTGTTGCTACAGGTTATGTGGGTTTTGGCAACATACTTGTTTTGGTCTTTTGGTTAAGGGCAACATGCTTGTTGCTTAAGGCTTGAAATTTTCGCTGTCATTTTATGTTGGGGGATATGGCATATGGTTTTGTTTTGGGGGGTTATCGCTGCTCTCCCTGCTCTCATCCATGCTAAGCTGCATGGATGCGCAGGGAGTTCTTGCCCAGAACAGAACCATACCGCCAATCCAAACTGTATGCTAATTGTCAATGATCTTTGACGATAGTGGTCCAGACAGAAGTACTTTTTTCCCATTTTTGAACTGTCACCACTGGCATAAAATGCATCAAAGATCGCTAAAGCCAACAGATTTTACTAATAGAGCTGCCAGTCTCTGTGTAAAATTAACATGATACTGCCATCTTTCAAAAGTCACTTTTTCCCTCCTGTAATTTGGCTCAGAATCTCAGGTGAAAATTTTAATTTTTACCCCACCTAAAAATACTGGATTACTCAGTAAATATACATCCATGACATGCAATATTTTGGCTTTCTTCTTACTTTTTGTATTTCTTTCATCATATAAAATATTAATAAAATCAAAAATTTGAGCTGGAGACCTCTGATTTAGTTTTATGGAAATGTAATTACCCATTTTGCATTTATGTAACATGCTAACTGAAACAAAATTATGAGTTTTCATTCCATTTTGCAGGCTGTAAACAACCCCTTCTCATCGAAGAGGCAGTACAGTATCTAAAATGAGTCACGATAAGGGGAGAGAAGAGAAAGATGTCAAGAGAGCAGGATCTCCAGAACCAAACTGGGTGTCTAAGAAGAGTGACAGCTGTGCACAAATTAACATCAGCGATGAACCGGCAAGGTTTGACCCAAGGTGAGACAAAGCAGTACTTGAGACGTGAAACTAAATGATCATATAGAGAAAAAAGATTAGATTAAAAAGCTACCCAGGCTCATTGGAAATATGTGCCTCTACATACATTTCAGCAAAACTCAAACTTACCTTTAGATATGAGTTGCTGCAGTTTCCAGTTGAAATGAATGCTAGAGGCAGTATAACTCCTATTCCTTTTCACAAAATTTCAAATATAATTTACAGGGCCAAAGTTTCAATTAAGAAAGTCTATTTTCGCACAATTCCTTGCATAGTATTATGTTATGACTTCAAAACAATTTTATCATGCTGTGAGATTCAAAAACTGATACTTTTGAACATTAGCGTCATATACATCTTCATATGGTGTGGCAGCATGAGAGGTTGCGATCTTTAACCTGTGCAGTTTTCCGATAAATACAGCTTCAGCAGTCTCCTCAGCATGCAGGTGTTGTTTAATAATCAAACAGAAGTTCTCAGGTTTACAACTTAAATCTCGTCAGCACACAAACAAAATAACTTAATCGTCTTTACTTCTTCCAACACCAGTGGTGTGTGTCTTTTCCAGGCACAAAAAAAACAATTTTTCCTCCTCTCAGCTCATGCTCATTAAAGTTGCATCTGCCCCCTCTCTCTAATGCCGAGTTCACACTGCACGATTTTCAAAGACGTCGCATCACTGTTGTTTTCACACTGCGTGACTATCTGGGGTAGCATTCAGTTGTTGCTGTGTTCACACTGCACGATGGAACGACGACAGGAGGTTACACACTGCATGACTTCACAATAGGAAGAATCGCGACAGCTCTGTCTGGTCCGCAAACTAGGTTTCACAACAAAACCTGCCCTGTATCTTGGTCTCTCATTGGCTGTAGGTCATCGCCGATGTGCTTTTCAGTCAGAACTCATTTCACACAGCGTGATTGTGAATCGCAGACAGCTCCAGATATTTAGCATGCCAAATATTTCGCGGGCGTCGGTGACGCGTCGGCGATTCGCTCAGATCGCATCTTTGATAATTCATACTGCGTGATTGTCACTCGCGTGAACGAGTACCGATTTGCCTCCGATTATGGCGATTCCGCAAAACCTGTCGGCCAGTAAAAAATCGGGCTAAAATCGTGCAGTGTGAACTCGGCACAAGGCAGCCTGGGCTTTTTAGTCTTTAAAAGGCAGCCATCTTGCCCTCTAGCTTACTTGCAAGGTGACCTGGGAGTGGTAGTTTATGACAAGACACCATCTTGTTCCAATCATCTTAGAGCAACATATCTTCCCTCTAGCACACGCCCTCTCATGATGCTGGTATAGTTAAAAAAAAAACTGCTTAAACCTGCATATAAGAAAGTTTAAATAGCATGATTGGATCAACGAATACATTTTTGTATTACTTTTGCATTTAACACTATCATGTAAGGGGAATTTCCAACACAATAAAACATTAACTTTTAGTGACACTTCACTGACATCTGAAATCCTGAACCGCCGCAATATGTACCTGAAGCAACACAATAGAAACTCAACAATACATGCCTGTACCAATGTAATAAAAATGTGGCCACAATTCACATATTGAATTCACGTTTTAGCGCCATTCAGTGGACATATCACTTTAAAACGGCTGTAACACATGCTGTAAGGTACGTAATATCAGTGTTGCAGGAATGTCACCGCAACCACGTATTTCCAGTGAGCCTAGCTTGGAACAAAAATAAAAAACTTCACATAACCTACATGCAGAGGTGGAAAGAGTACGAAAATAAAATATTCTACTCAAGTAAACCAACCATTACATTAATGAAATTGTACTTAAGTACAAGTAAAAGTACCAGTCTAAAAATCTACTCAAGTAAAAGTAAAAAGTAGCTCGTTTAAAATTTACTCAGAGTAAAAATTACTTAGTTACATTTTAACAGTGGGAGGGAGGCAAAAATGGTATAGGCCAAGGGTGTCAAACTCAGCCCTGCACAGTTTAGATATAACCCTAATTAACCACATCTGATCCAGCTAATCTAACTTATTTAGGCTTATTTCAAAACTACATGGTATGTGTGTTGGAGCAGGGTTGGAACTAAACTCTGCAGGGCTGCAGCCCTCCAGGAACTGAGTTTGACATGCCTGGGATAGGCCTATAAATCTCAAACCAGTTGTTTTTAATTAAAGGAATCAGTTATTTAGAATAA